TTACTCCCTGCGTGAGGGTCGGACTCCGACCTTCATGGATTTCCAGGCGTTCCTCGAGGATCGCTTCGGAACCCGATATGACGTGACTGACGCCTTCGAGCGTGTCGTCACTACACGCTGGTCCGACTCTGGTGGCGCTGACGGCCTGGATCGCCACATCCAGGTCTTTCAGGATGCCCGCCTCGTTTATGAAGTGGCGTTCCTTCCCGAGGCTGCCCTTATCGATCGTTTTTTGGCCAGCCTCCCGCTCGAGTGCCGCTCCGAGCTATGGAGGTACGAGTTCACATCGGCCCCGCAGGCTTACGAGGCCGCCAGGAACCATGAGCGGATGCGAGCCCGTCTTCACCCCGCCTCCTCCTCCCAGCCTCAGCGCACGGGTTACGCCTCCTCCTCCGCTCACGGCACTTCCTAGCGTCGTTCCCCTTTCCGCGGTCGCCCCCGCCGTCCCGTGCAGCAGGGCCGCCACTTCTCGCGCCACTTCAGCGTGCTCGAGTATGGTGAGCAGGACGCTGGTGCCCCGCTGTCGCCAGAGGGTAACCATAGCGACGACCTTGCCCTCGGCGATGCCGTCCACCACCACCTGGAGGACTCTACTCTCCCTATGGCTGAGCGCCTCCAGCTCATCCTCTCCACCCTTTCCCGGGCACGCAGCCGCCCTGGTCACGCTGGTGCGTCGCCCCCCGAGGTCCCTCAGCAGGACCTCCCTCAGGGCTTTGTCCCTCCTCGCGGTGTCCTTTCCGCTAAGGAGCGCGTGGCTATTTTGGGCCGACGTGGGTGTTTATGCTGCCGCTTGGACGATCATACCTCCTCGCGGTGCCCTTACACTACCGCCCTCGACCGCCACTACGCTGACCTTTCCCGCCAGCGTCGTGCTTAGTCCCCCGTCGGCGCCTCGCATCCCCGCGGCGCCTCCTAGCCACGGTGCAGTGTACATCTGCGCCCTCCTCAGTAGTGGGCTTCCCGACATCTCCATCGCGGTTCGCCCCTCTCGCTACTGGAGTTGAGGTATCGCAGGACTCGACAGAGTGTACTCAGCCCTCTGTCGCAGTATCGTTTGCGCCTCCGCAGACCACCGTCTTCCCTCCTTCCCCACCGCGACTACCGACACGTCGAGCCATTCGCTCAACCCGTTGCAGCGAGCAGCTTGCGACTCGCGAGGACGTTGTGTCCTCTCTTCCGGACTTGAGCAGGCTCCAGGCTCGTCAGGAGCGACTCACCCTCCATGTCGCTGCCATGCGTCGCCTTCTCACCATCCTCTCACACCCTGATCGCACCCTCCCGATCATCCCCGTACGGCTCGGGACCTCCGCGAGGGTGTACTCAGCGCTGTGGGATTTCGGTTCTCAGGGCGACTTCATTCACCCACGAGTGGTGAAAGAAGCCCGCTTACCCACAACAGGGTCTCCGACTCCCATCTCCGTTATCCGAGGGGATAACAAGACCCAGCGCTTCTTCGATCAGATGGTCACCGACCTCCCTTTCTTCCTCACTCTCGAGCCGACTGATCGTTCCCCGGCGTCTCGCCGCCACCGCTCCTCTGCACATTTCGATGTGATGGAGACGGGGTACGACTTCATTCTCGGCACTCCGTGGTCTCGTCGGTTCCGCAGCACCGAGGCCGATTGGGCGACCAACACTCTCGTTCTCAAGACGAAGTGTGGAAAGACGTATCGCGTACCTTTCATAGGTACCACTGCGACACCACGCCCCGATCCTCCTCCCCCGGAGCCTTCCGTGCCCACACCATCTCCTTCCATCACTGTCACCTCGCCTCCGCAGTTCGCCCACTTCATCCGACAGGACGACGTCACCTTCTTTATGGTGGACGTGACGGATCTCTTACACTATGATCCACCCTGTCCCGACGCCGATCTCATCCCTCTGGAGCCAGATCCTCCTTCTGTCTCCATGGCTCCCATCTCTACTTCCGTCCCTCCGTCGTCCGTCGAGTCCAACCCGCCGCCGCGCGCTGACGCTGACGCTGAGGAACTTGCACGATATACGGCTGACCTGGAGCCCGCAGTTCGTGACCTCATCCGAGAGTACCACGGCATTTTCCCATCGTCGTTCTCGTACGCCGGCATCCCACCGATGCGTGACGTCGAGCACTCCATTCAACTTGTGCCTGACTACCGTGTTCACCACCAGGCACCCTACAGACTCTCGATCCCCGAGACCACCGAACTCAAGTGTCAGCTTGAGGAGCTCCTGAGACTGGGTTTCATTAAACCCAGCAACTCCCCGTGGGGTGCACCCATCCTCTTTGCTCGCAAAGCGGATGGAACTCTCCGTCTTTGCATCGACTATCGCGGTCTCAACCGCTACACGGTTAAGAACAGCTACCCCATACCTCGTTCCGATGAGCTGTTCGACCGCCTAGCAGGCAACCGCTTCTTTACAAAGATTGATCTTCGTAGCGGTTACCATCAGATCCGCGTCGCTGCAGCTGACCAACCGAAGACCGCGTTCCGATCGCGCTTCGGCCACTACGAGTTTACGGTGATTCCCCTTCGGCCTCACCAACGCACCCGCCACCTTCCAGAGGGCGATGAACGACATCTTCAGGGACATCCAGGAACAGTACGTTCTCGTCTACCTCGACGATATCCTGGTCTACAGTCGTACCCTTGAGGAGCACCTCAGACACCTCCACGACGTCCTTGACCGCTTGCGCAGACATGGCTTTTACGCCAAGCTGAGCAAGTGCCGCTTTGCTTAGCACAAAGTGGATTCATTAGGACACTACATGTCTGACCAGGGTCTCCACATGGACGACGCGAAGATCACTGCTATTGCGGAGTGGCCCGCTCCCACATCCACCAAGCAGCTTCGCAGCTTCCTAGGCCTGACCAGCTACTATAATAATTTCATCCGGGGATACGCTAGGTATTCCTACGTCCTTACCTCCACCCTCCTCCGGAAGAACCCACCCTAGGCTTGGACACCCCTCCACGAGGACGCCTTCCGCGCCCTCAAGAAGGTGGTGACATGCGCACCGGTTCTTCACCTACCCGATTTTGATCGTTCTTTTATCCTTACCACCGATGCGTCAGACTTTGCCGTAGGAGCAGTGCTTTCTCAGGTCTTCCCCTCCTCTCCTGATTCCTCTCATCCTCGTATCCCTCGCTTCCCACCACCTACCCCTACCACTGCTTCCCGACTGACGCCTACTCGTCCAACTACTGACGAGCCTTCTATTGACTTTTCTCCTACCATCGTCGAGGACGGCACTATCGAGTCTCGCTCAAGTGATTGTCCGATAACCTTCTACTCCCGTCAGCTCCTGCCCGCCGAGATAAACTACACTGTTGATGAACGTGAGGTTCTCGCAGTAGTTTATGCCGCTCGGCACTGGCGTCACTACCTACACGAGGCACCGTTCACGGTGCGTACGGACAACTCTGTTGTCCAGGCTTTTCTGACAAAACCGAAGCTCACTCCTCGACAGGCTCGCTGGTGGCGCGACCTATCCGAGTTTAGTTTCACCACTAAGTACATCAAGGGTGAGACTAATCCACTGTCGACCACTTGATGATCGACGAGTTTCGCACTCAGTACCGCCACTACCCCGACTATCGCGACATCCACGCGACCCTTCGGAGTCTTGTGTACCGGCTCAGTTCACAGGGCACCGAAGAGCCCCGTATTTGCGTTCCCTCCACTGGACAGCTACGTGTCCGAGCAGTAGCAGAGTTCCATGACCAGGCAGCCGCCGGTCATATGGGCTTCCGCAAGACGTTGGCTCGTGTGAGSCGCCTGTACGTCTGGCCRAAGCGCAAGGACTTTGTGAAGGACTACGTCGCAGASTGTCCCACCTGTSAGGAGGTGAACAGTGCGAACCACCTACCTTATGGTTTGCTCCAGCCTCTTCCTATCCCTGAGGGTCGTTGGCAGTCCATCTCGATGGATTTTATCGGTCCTCTTCGTCCTCCGACCCCCCGCGGTCATGATGCTATCCTAGTCGTCATCGACCGCTTCACGAAGCGTGCACGCTTTGTTCCGTGCTGCTATGCCATCAATGCACGTGAGGTCGCCAACATCGTGTTCGACCGAGTCGTGCGTGACCACGGCTTACCTTTGAGCATCATATGTGACCGTGACCCACGCTTTACCAGCCCATTCTGGCGACGGCTCCACGAGGTGTACGGCACTCAACTCCGCTTCTCCTCGTCTTACCATCCTCAGACTGATGGTCAGACCGAGATCACGAACAGGACTGTCGGAGATATTCTCTGAAAGATTGTTCGTTACGACCAGCAGTGGGATCTTCATCTTGCCCACGCGGAGATAGCCTACAACCACGCCGTCTCGCCAGCCACGGGGATCGACCGTCCTAGATGCACCCCGACACGAGTTGTCCCGCGCTGGATGATTGGGTTGCATACATGACGTCGATCATGAAGACCGCACATGAGCACATAGCCGCTTCCCAGACTTGCATGGCAGCATGTGCGAACCGATCGAGGATGGACCATCCATTCAAAGTCAGTGATGATGTGCTTATCGACGCCCGCCACTTACAGCTCGAAGCGGACACGCTTCGCAAGTTTTGGCGTCTCTTCTTTGGCCCATGCCGCATCCTCCAGGCCGTTGGTTCTGATACAGCATCTAGCCCGGTCAGCTTCCGTGTGAAGCTGTCCGGCTACCTACGCCAGGCTCGTGTGCACGATGTCTACCACGTCTCGTTACTGCGTCCTTACCGCAGACCGTCTGAGCGTTTCGCTGGACGACCATACGAGCGCCCTCTACCCATCATGGTGGATGGCCACAAGGAGTTCCTCGTTTCAGACATCATTGGTCGCCGAGTCACCGGCGACAATCTTCCCCACGTCGAGTATCTCGTACGTTGGAAGGGTTACCTTGATGAGGAGGCTACCTGGGAGCCCCTCGAGCACTTGCAGCACGATCGCATGTTTGTGCGTGCCTATGACCGTGCTCATCGTGCTGGGTTCACTGCTCCTCCTCAGCCCATTGACCCTCCTCCTTCTCCCCCGGCTGAGGAGACCGCTGAAGTCGAGCCTGCTCCATCTGAGGCAGACCTTCAGCAGCAGCCGAATGCTTCTGAGCGTCCACAACGCACTCGTCGTCGTCCTGCTCGATACGACGATTGACTCCGACTTCTCAGTACTCCATCCACTTCAGTTTTGCTACTTCAGCTCGTCGACGTTGCGGCTCTTCCTCGACGGCATTCCAGACATCTCATCGTGGACGTCATCGGCAGCTTCATGGACTTCGTCACGATCAGCTCTGCCTTTTTCAGACGTCGTCACTCTCTTACCACTTTACCCTGTACAGTACCCTGCTTGTGTCGCATGATGGTCTCCCTTTCGCCGGGTTCCTCTGAGTTGGGCTCTCCCTTGGTATATGCATAGGCATCGGGACCGTAGCGTTGCCCTGGCTTCCCATCTTACGGATCTAGCTCCGACTTCCCTCACCTTAGGAGTCATTTGCATGATTCCCCTACCCATCACCTCTACCCTCTGCCGGCCCTCACGCCCTAGTTAGGCAGCCCCACATGCTTCATCTAGATGCGCCCAGTATATCAGGCTCCCTTGTTCCCTTGCATGGTCGACCCTCCATAGCGGTCACCCCTTAGTTGAGCTTTACCCGCCCTGATGGTCTATCTGTTAGGGTCATTGGTTCTGTTCGCTCCCAGTTCCCTACCCTCATTGAGCCTGATGACATGTGTCTCCCTATTATCTTTGTGTGGATGCCCTTAGGAGTTTTGGACCCCTAGGCTGCATTCGCCACCCTCACAGACCATCCCACCCTTTGGTTTGCGACACACTCCCCCTATGACATATGGTTGTTTTGTTGTTGTTTGTTGCTCTCAGACTGAGGCTACTGCCTCTAACATTTTTAGGATTTAGTTGTTCTGCTTTTGTTGTTCTTTTGACTTGTACACTAGTCAACTGTTCCCAGACTGAGGCTAGTGCCTCCAACATTCTAGGATCTAGTTGTCAGTACTTTCTGCTTTCCTAGGAAATGTATGCTACTTAGTTGCTTCTGCTTTTCTAGGACATGTATGCTAGTTAGTTGCTTCTGCTTTTACTTAGGCTGTTAGCCGTGACTTTTATGATTTGTGACATTTTATATCCTAGGTTGCATCGCATGGACTCAGCATGGAGCTTGCTCCGCATCCTAGACTACTCAGGTTTTTCTTTTTCTTTGATAGAATTCCGCTTCTTGGCAGAAGCGTATTTGCATCTAGGCGATCCATCACAGGCCGAAGATCATGTAGCGGACCTCTGGTTGGTTGGCCTGTGAGACCAGCCCCTTGGCCTGTTCTCACAGGCCTGTGTTCTATTCGAGGGCAGTCCAGTCCAGTCCAGTCCGTCAGTCCGCTAGGGTATACCCCAACCATTGTCTGTTTTTCGAGTCATTCTTCACCTGCACATGTTGGAGTACATGCATTGGAGTCTTGCATGGGGAACTGCGTTGTGCCATCTCGCTCCCCCTTCTTCCTCCATCTCCATCTCTGTCACTAGCGGAGCACCACACCTGGTGGGTCCGCTACAAAGGACCAGGGAAGGTCCCAGCAAAAAAAAAAAAACAATCAAATAAATCCAAAAAAAAAACAATGTTATGCACAAAAATAAACTGAACAACTTTTGCCTTAGGGTCACATCGAATTTCTGCACCAAAGTTAGGATTTATTTTTTTATTTTTTTTTTAAATTGTTTTTGGCCCGCCCGGCCAAGTGACCCCGGGCCACTCTGGTAGCCTAGCATTCCTTAATATATATAAAAATCAATACATTCATGTGCACTTCTTAGCGGCCCGGTGCGGGTTTGGTAGGTGGTGAATCAAGATTTTGACACAATGTTCATGATTGACTAGCCTCTCTGCTCAATGCCCGCATCGCCCGCACCGCGGGCGCTAAGCTAGTATATATATATAGTCGAACAGAGCTGCCTGGTAAACCGTAGGCAGAGAGGGAGAAGAGGACAACAAACGGGGTTGTGGCAAACTGTTTATATATATATATATATATATATATATTGATTGATTGGTTTATTTTGTATAACTCATTGCTTGATTGATTAAATTTTTGATTGATTGATTGATTGATTGATGGGGGCTACGAAACACCCGCGGACGCGTCCGCGGGGTCGAGCTCGGAGGGCGGCCGTATTCATGTTCGCAGCCGCAGTTAGCCTCGGCCGCACCGCGGACATGAATTTACCCGATTTTTCCCAAATAAAATAATGGGTAAAAAAAATTAAAAAAATATGAGGTTGTAAGGATTTTCAAGCCCTACAAGCCCATATTTTGTTTTTTGGAAACAGATAATTTTATAGAATTATACAAAATAAAAAACAGAAAAGGTGGAGAAGATAAATTGAAAATTAAATTAAAAAAAAAAAAAATTCGGCGGGGGGGGGTTGGTTGGCAGTTCTTTGTATTCTTCGCTTTTACGAATTTTTTGTTTGTTTGTTTGTTGTGAAATAAGGAAACAATCAAGGAATGGAAAAAACAAAAGACTTAGTATTGTTTTTTTTCGGGGCCTGTTCGTATTTGTGTGTGAACGTGTGTGTGTGTGTGTGTGTGTGTGTGTGCTGTCTCTTATACACATCTAGATGTGTATAAGAGACAGGTGTGTGTGTGTGTGTGTGTGTGTGTGTGTGTGTGTGTGTAATGGGTGTGTATAACACGGCAGCCCTATAATCATGGGGAACCAGACCATCCTTCAGTCCAAACGTAGCATTACGTAGTGTTAGTTGCAGGCTTAACATAGCACACGTGGGGGGGAAGGGTTATCCCATAGTCATCAACATCATAGGAAAGTGGAGGATTAATTAGGGTGGGGCAGATTAGGGTGTTAGGAAGAGCGGGGAGCAAGGATGGAATAACCATCAAGGTTGGTGTAGTGACCAACAGAGGAGGGATGACACATCCCTTCATACGCTTTTTGGTGCTTGCTCCCGTCAAGGCTCATTAGAAGGTGAGGTGTTCCCATGCGCCCGGCTAAGATACCCATGGAATACCACGATGCAAAGGTCATTAAACCACTAGTAACTGGCCCAGCTATCGAGTCCAAGCCTCGGCCGACCGGTACGCCGATCCGTGCCGAGGCTCGGACTACCGGGCGCAGGCATCCCGAACGTCCATGCAAAACGGACGAAAAAAACGGGAAAAAAACAACCAAAATTTGGCAAAAAAAATAAAGAAAAATAAATAGGTTCTGTACGAACGGCTTCAGAAAGGCAAAGAGGGAAGAATCTTCCCGCTTTCGCGGAAAGAATCGTTCCCGCTTTGCGATTTGAAAGTGACAGGCAGAGAGAGAGAGAGAGAGAGAGAGAGGCGGCGACCTGCATGGAGGGTCACGGCAAACTCGCCGCCCCTCTCTCTCTCTCTCTCTCTCTCTCTCTCTCTCTCTCTCTCTCTCTCTCTCGCACGCGCGCGTGCGCGCGCGCATTTCAAAACACGAAACGGGAACGCATCTTCCCGCAATAGCGGGAACATGCGTTCCCGTTTCGTGTTTCGAAACGCGAGAGCTCTCTCTCTCTCTCTCTCGCACGCGCTCGCGCGCGCGCCCGCGCGCGTTTCGAAACACGAAACGGGAACGCATCTTCCCGCTCGCTCTACACTGTACACTCTCTCTCTCTCTACAGTGCGCACGAAACGACGAACAGTCTTGGAATAACCGCGGTGTACAGTAGTATAGTTGAAGTCTTTCCGAAGCCGTTCGTACAGAGCCGATTTATTTTTCTTATTTCTTTGTTTTTTTTCCGTTTGTGTTTTGCTTTTTTTTTTTTCCTTCTTTCTTTTTTTTGTTTCTCTCTAGTGTGTCGTCCCTACAGAAGCGGGGCCCGGCCTTCGCGCAATAACCGGGCCTTCCCTTGGCCGACCCCCCTAAGGCTGAGGCGCGTATACGGGAAGGCCCGCGGCCGATAGCTGAGCGAGGTACTGGTGGCTTAAGGGAAAACACAGTGAGGCAGATGACGGCAAGGTAACAAGGCACTGGACCAGTGTAGAGGGCCGTACATATACGGCCCGTCTGCACGTACGGACGTCCATACGTACACCCCCCCCAACGTCCGTACGGGCCGTACGTACGGACTTCGGGCCGTGCGTGCACGGCCTTCCAGAGGGGTGGGGGGGGGGTTGATGGGCCGGGGGGGGGTCGAGTGTCAGGGGGTACCCCCCCATAAATAAATAAAAAACCATATTTTTTTTTTTATTATTTTTTTTTGGGTCCCGGGTGAAGAAAAAAAAAAATTGATTGATTGATTAATTAATTGATTGATTGATTGATTGATTGATTGATTGATTGATTGATTGATTGATTTGATTGACTTGATTGATT